ACGCGCTGTCGCAGCCGGGGCACTTGGAGGGAGGGGCCCGAAGTGGCTGCAGATGCAGCATGACACTGAGCTAGCACCCTTCCCGCCTGTGTCGAACCCTACACAGCCCTCCCTGCCTGAGGCCCCACCTGGGGCTGACCCCTCCCTCCTATTGCCTTTCTTCTTCCTCTATGACCTCCCCCAGCTGGAACACAGAGGGCTCCCCCTCTGCCCACCACCCCAACCCAAATGCTGGGGCCCAAACGCTCACAATCCCTGAATCCACACACCAGCTGGGACCTTGTCCCAGAGTTCCAGACTCACCTCACAGTTCCCAGAGGCACCAGCCCTTGACCTGAGAGGTCCCCTGGGCGTGCAAGCGACATCTCAAACCTAACAAGACCTTCCCACATGCTTCTCTGTTTTGGGATGACTGCTGCCCCCAAACCATAAGGCCATCTCTAATTCCTCTGCCCCCCTCCTGGGGACCTTTATAAGGACCGTCCCTCATGAGTCCTCTGAGTCACTTTTCATGGGGGCTCCCCTCTCACTGTCCCTCTTGGCACCCTGCACCTCCTTTGCCTCTCATCCTTCCATCTTTGGACTCTAATTCCCGTGCACACTTTAGTTAATTTACGGAGAATGTGAGCAGCAGGATCTTTATCTGTTCTGTTCACTGTTGGGTCCCTGTCGCCCAGCACACAACAGACCGAAATGGGGTGAACTGACCAGAGGACCCCCCGTGCCTTTCTCTGTCATATGACTGTCTGTAGGGAGGTCCCAGGCCCACTCTCCAGGGTTGAACATGTGGTTCCCTGTCACTTGTCCTCTCAAGTCCCTGGGATTGCCCCCACCTAGGCCTGGCGGATGAGGGCAAACAGACTCCAGTAGGGTTTGCAAGTGTTGAGGCATCTGAGGGGGAAACCCAGCCCTGTAACCAAGGCAAGAAGAGGTCACAGCGACACCCCCGCTGGTGTGGCTGCCCTGCTGGCGGCATGCCAGCTGACATACTACCGGGAGGTCCAACCTCTGGGCATCTCTGGGCCTCACGGAAGAAGAAGAGTCGACTTGGGACATGTACATTAAATGCACCGTGACATGTAATCACACAAAAAAATCTCACGATGTTTTAAGTAAGTTGACGATTTTGTGTTGGGCCGAGTTCACAGCCATCCTGAGCCGTGTGCAGCCTGTGGGCTGCAGGTGGACACTCCTGGTCCATAAATCACGAAGTGCCCCCACGTTTCCTTTACTGAGTCATTTATCTTTCTCACTCGTCACCCGAGGACACGCTCATGGATTTTAGAGAGAAGGGACGGGAAAGAGACACTGATGTGAGAGGGGAGCACTGAGGGGCAGCCTCTAGCTTGTGCACCAGCTGGGACCGAACCTGCCGCCCAGGCACGGGCCCTGACCGGGAGCTGAACCGGCTACCTTTCAATTTACAGGACGATGCCCGGCCAGCCGAGTCACACCAGCTGGGCGCGTGGTTCTTCCGAGGGGCAACAACTGCCTCGTACCCACGTGCGTCTGCTACAGCTGGACGCAGCCTGCTAGTTTCAGGGTAACATTCCACAGTCATCAATAACTACTAATCAGATGTAATGGCGAAAGCCAGGGCTCCTGTCATTTGCATTAATAACAAAAGAAGAGCTAAAATCAGCACACGATATATTTTTTAAAAGGATAAAATTAACACATGGTTAACAACGGCAAGATTTAGTGTCTGCTAAAGCAGCCTTCATGAGAGAGTTGTCCATTTAATTTGCACTGACATTTAAAAGCACACATCTAGTTTTAAATTTCACTCTACTGAGAGGCTGTTCTGGCTCAGCAGTGGTGTGGGATAAATCCCGCACCAACGGCTTGCCTGGGTGAGGAGTTGCTCCTTCTTTCTAGAAGAAGCACCTGCCCAGCTCCCGGACTCGGATTGGTTTAGAAGGGACTCTGGAGGGACCAGCTGCAATGCCGGCTGTGTCCATCAGGTGGCGGCATGCCCTTCCTCTGGTAAATGGGAGATGATGGGGGTGGGGGACGACTCTCCCCAAACTCCCATAGGAGAACATAGGGATTGCCCCACACTTGGGAGCAGCACCCCAGGCCACTATACACACTTGTGGACGTGTCTCTCAGCTGTCACTATCTTCCCCCGGTCCCAAGCCGGTCCCTCATCCTGAAGAAAGGGCTGCGGGGGACCCCGCTTTATCTGTAGACAGTTTCTCCCTTACATTTTCAATGTACTAAATTCTCTAGGAGTGCAGCTGCTGCGGAAACTGGTGGAAGACCGCACTCTGGTTTTCTTTAGCCCTCAACCCAGAACCATTCCCTCCTTCAGCAGTGATGTCCCACACAGCACCCGCCGACAGGTGCTGTGACTGACGCAGCACCCTGGAGGCTGGGGGACCCGGAGCTGGACACACGGGGGCAGGTACCTGCCTGACCCTCATGACCCCTGGACAGCCTGCTACCCACTTCTCTCTGTCGGCCCCTCACTGCGAATTAGGGAACTGCAGCTGTCTTTGGAAATGATGGGGGTACTGGATTTCACTGTTGTGGAGTTTTATTTCTGGATGGGAAGGGCGCATTGGGTCTGACTGGTTCAGATCCACCACTCTGGCACTCTGGCTTTTCATCCTCTTCAGCAGGGAAGACATGCGAATAAAACAAACACAACGGACAGCCCCACACGCACCATCTTCCCTGGAAACAGAGTCCCTGGGTCGAGGCTTTGCACGTTCAAACTGGCCTCTGGGCCGCTTTTACAGCACTACGCACTGTAGAGTCAGTGTAATGTGCAACGATCCCTCAGCTTTCAAAGGGAAACTTGTGTTTCTTGCCCTCTGATCTTATGTATGTACTGTGCATGCATTCTTGGAGATGAGGGTTTTGAAAAGGCTCCCTTCTACTGGGGATAAAAACCCCTAAAAATAAGAGAGAAACAAAGGCCACTTATTCTAACTGAAGGGGAGATAAACATGCTGGAGCAAGAAATCACAGGGGACATTCCATGTCACATTGGGCAGCCTGGCCTATGTGAAGTGACTGTCTTCACCTGCAGACGAAGTTTATCTGTGTAGCAAATATTTACCGAGGAGCCACGTACTCACCCATAGGACCTACATCCTAGGGCCAACAGAGACCAAAACCTGGCTGCACAGGAATTATCACCATTTCTGACAAGCCCCATAAACCAATAAGCCTGATAGGTGAGGGATCTGGGCATGAAGGGACAATGGGCATGATGGAGGGCTTCCCTGAAGAGGTGGCTAAGAGTATGAGAACGAGCATCTCCAGACACCCAGCAGAGGGACAGCAAGTGCAAAAGCTCTGAGGCCAGAAGGGCTGAGGATGAGCAAGGGTAGTGACCCCCAGGGGAGAAATGGCCCCGGCCTGGAAAGTCTGGAGAATGGAAATCCAGCTGCTCCCTCCCAGCACCCTGCCTGCTTGTGGCCTGGGGAGAAGGAGGTTCACCTCTATGTTAGGCTCAGAATGTTGGGTGTTGACATTTCCAGATATAAAAGAATTCTTAGATTTTTTAACATCTCAGACTGACCAGAAAACCCGAGTTTCCACCCACAGGCAAGCAAGGATTTACTCCACTGAACCCATCTTAGGTGGGCAGTGGGGGCCAAATAGAGCACCTGGGACCCCCGTTCCCGCTTGTTCAGCCAGGTGCTGAGCGGTGGCTGTGGCAACGCTGCCCTCTCTGGGCTCCAGGTCCAGGGCTAGCCACTGCCTTGGCCAGGGTTCGGGGACCGTGCCTGTGACCACAGAGATGGTTTGTGGTGCATTTCCATCTCCAGGACTTTTAGATCCCTAAAGGAGGGTAGGAGGAGTACAACCAGAGAGAAAACGAGCTGGCGAGTGAGGAGGCCCCGGAAGGTTCGAGAGCTGGCCTGCAAGTGACGACCGTGCCACACATGCGCATGCTGAGCTCTCTCAGCTTTCACGGCCCCTGAGTTCCTCAGGTTCTACCCAGTTTCACTTCAGCAAAGGTGAACAACTCCTTAGGGTTTTCTAAAGTGGGAACGAATGGAAAGAGGTTCAGTAAAAGGGAGGAGGTGCTCCAGCTTGTAGCTCAATGGTGTAAGACCAAGAATAGCTTTGGCATCTGAGAAGTGACTGTATACTCTTAGCATTTGGTGTCCATCAAGTCTTGCTGAGCTCACACCGCTGCCTGAGCTTTAGAGAGAGGCCCGGGGCTGAGGGGTCACACGGGAGGGAGGGATGAGGGCTCTGGCCTGGGTGTGGAACCACCTCCCGTCCCTCCCTGGGAGACCGTCCTTGCAGGGAGGCCCCAGAAGCTGGCGCAGAAGCTCACTCTCTGGAAGACCAGCCAGACTGCCAGCCACAGCTGTCCCCATTTCCTTTTTAAATAATTTGAACTTGTCCTTCCCTAAAGCCACTGCTGAGTTCATCGTTTCATGCTCAATGTCTGCCCCTTTCTGCTTGCTGGAGTCCCCAGCGCCATTTAAACGTCCCGCCACTGGGCACACAGGGCTCTAGAGCAGGAGTCCCCAACCAGTGGGCTGCAGATCGGCACCTGTCTGTGGCCTGTTAGGATCCAGGCTGCGAGGGACATTCACCTGGGTTTGCCTCCTGTCCAGAATGGGAGGCGGCCACCTCACCACTTCTGAGGACAAAGCCTCAGCCCCGGAGGGTTTCACAGCCACCTCTGCAGGGCAGTCTCCCCCCCGGGGAAAGACGGAGCCTTTCCCAGCATTGTCTTGCTCGTCTAATGAAAGACTGGACACTGACCCTGAGGGAGGGAATGTGCTCGGGCTCAGCTGGACACCAGGAGGAGCAGGCTGGAGCCGGACACAGGCTGGAGCCAGACACTCACAGGTGAGGGGAAGGATGCCAGCCCTGGAACTCGAACAATCGAGCAACAGGATTCTGATCCAGCATCTTCCACTGCTCCGCTTTGTAATGCCGGGCAGGCTCCCGAACTCCCCTCGTCCACAACCTCCTTATCCAGCAAAGACCCCCTGCAAAGCCACAGGGGCCTCAGTGACACACACCTGGGGATGCTGGTGAGATAGGTCATGACATTCTGGAACTCCTTGTCCGGCACGTCGCTGAAGGTGGGGTAGTCCGGGAAGGTGATGACGGGGCTGCCGTCCTGCCCCCGCCCGCCTGTGGAGAGAGCAAAGGCGGCACTTAACTCGGGGCATCTGTGCCGCGGCACCAGCGCAACGTGCCTGACTTTTCACAAGCACTGACTACTTCCCTTAAAACTGACAGTGTGCTCTTCAGTGTCGTATTTTTATTATGAAATACATGCATGCATATTGAAGGAAATACTGAGAATGTACACGGCGGCGAGATGAGTTGAAACAATCGCTCATTATTTTCCCACAGTGGGGCAGCCACCGCAGCGCTGGGCGCATCTCTTTCCAAACCTTTTTCAGTGTATTTTTCTGCCTAATCGAGACAGTGTTGAACATACAGCTGGCGTCCTAACTACAGTTTCCTGTGCTTTACAAGCGATGGGATGTTATTTTAAGCACTGAGTGACATTCCATTCAGGCTGGGTCCTGATGCCGCTCGCAGCGCCCTGTGTGTGGGCATTTGGTAGTTCCTCCGATGTTCCGTGCGTCAGACGATTCCGTTCTGAAGGGAGTCACCCTGTTCGCACCTTAAGGTGGAGGAGGGTGCAGGTGGAACGAGAGGGGGGCTTTCCCAGGGGAGCGACACCTCTGATGTGGCATGAGGGAGATGGATTGGTGCACAAGGAGTCAGAAACAGTGGTCAGGGGTGTGGCCAGGGGGGAGGGAGGACCCTAGGGAAGAAGGTGTGAATGTGGCCTGGGACAAATTCGGTTTGAATCGTCCCACAAACGATCAGGAGAGTTAGCACAGAGGGCACATGAGCAGAGACAGGGCTTGCACGGGTCCAGATTTCAGTCTGCCTGCTTGCCTGTGTCTTGTGCTGGAGACAGATGCCACTCTCTGCCACTGCTCCCTCCAGGGACGGGTCCATTTCTCTTCCACTGAACCCCGTACTGGCCTGGAGACCCACTCTGGCCCATCCGCTGTGGCAGAAGTGATGAGCTAATAGCTCCCAAGGCTGGGCTGTAACATAGTGCAGGGTCCACCCTCCTTACTCAGATTCCCTCCTGGAGACCAGTTGTCACGTAAGCACCCAACAGCCCTGCATGCGTCATGCGCTAAGGTGCCCAGACACTGCAAGGGAAGCAGGGGCAGCCTGCGTGAAGGGGACCAAGGTACCACATGCGAGTGAAGCCCCCAGTGTTCCAGCCAGCCCCTGAGATGGAGGCAACCAGAGATCTTATCCTGAATCCTGATGGATGGGAGGTGGGATAGAGAGAAGGAGGACTCCTTCCAGGTTTAGCTTGAGAGTTTCCATCAGCTTTGATGAAAATCCACAAAAGTCTGGGTTTGTTTTAGATATTTAAACTTAAGGTGTCTGTTCATTTTTTAACAAATGCCCACAGAATTGGCAACATAAACCGATAGCCCACAGTTGTGTAGCTCAGAGCTGTGGCCTGGCCCAGCAGGTCCTTGCAGGCTGAAATGCAGGCGATGCCAGGCCTGGGTTCCACCTGAGGCCAGGTTCATGTTCCAGGCCCATTTAGGTGCTCACAGAATTCAGCTCCCTGCGTTGTAACCCTGAGGTCCCCAAGTTCCTGCTGCTGTTGGCTGGGTGGCTCTCAGTCCCCAGAGGCACACTCTTTGCCAGATGCCCCACCCCCCATCTTCAAGGCTAGTGGCAGGAGACCTCTGTCAGGTGGGTTCCTCGTACTCAGAATCCCTCCTGCAGGAGGAACTTGGTCCCTTTGAGGACTCAGCTGATTAGGTCAGGCCCACCAAGGCCGACCCTATGGTCAGCCGATTTAAGACCTTGATTACTACTGCGGGCCCCTTTCCTGAGCTCAGGGACAGCATCTGAATACCAGAGAGAAGATGTGTCTGGGTTGGGGCCACCTGGGGTCCTGCCTCCTCCCCAGGTACTGAAGAGGCAACATGATACTGAGGGGCGGTGGGATTGCAACCTGAAGGAAGGTCAAGTTCATGAGTCTGGATCACCAGTGCATGTATCTGTGAGCTTTTGGGGACTTGACGGTGGTGTGAAGAGGGTGGGAGATGCCACAGAGCCAGAGGAGCTGGCAAAGCGACTGCAGCTCCTTTTCTATGTGTTCTGTTGCTGTTGTCCATGGCTTGTCCTGTTGGGAGATTTGCATTTCCCCTAAGGATACCCACTTTCTCTCCTTCCTCCATGAGGCCGGTGGCCCTCCTGGTGATCGCTCATAAAAATCAATGGGCTGTCTCATTGTCAACAACTCCCAGAGGCTCCATTTTCCTGCTCATGCCTTCGGTGCTCAGAGGGCACACCCCCCCAGAGCTACACCTCGGGTATGTGTGTCAGGGGCAGCTCGGCTGAAACCATGTGGGGCTGGCCTGAGGGGCAGCGGCCGGCACTGGGGCGGCCAGGCAGGCCCTGGGGAGCAGGGCCGGTTCTTGAGGTTCAAGAGGGAGCCCCAGCCTGCTGGCCAAGGGGAAAGGACTGGCTGCAAGAACAGGGTCAAGAAGATGGCACAGGTTGAGTTCCTTCATTCTCAGGAAGCCTCCTAATTAACAGCGTAAGAAAGGCTCGACTTTTTCTGAATTTGCCCAAGGTGGGTGGACTTGCCCACATGGAGAGGCGGGCCACTCAGCTCTGAGAAGGGGCTGCTTCAGGTGCAGCCAGCAGGCTCCCTGCAGCCTTGATGTGCCAGCTCTGTCTGGTGCTGGGGTCACCCGCCACAGAGAGCTGGACAGGAGGACACCTCACAGGGGTGGAGGAGGAAGCTGGACCCGAAAGGGGGACAGCACGAAGACGGGCTTGGGGATACAGGGCTGCCCAGGACAGACCCCAGCACAGTGCCAGCCCTTGCCCACGTCAGCCACACTACAGGGCCTTCTCCCGGAGAGAAGAGCCACAGAAGCCAGAGCTGCTCAGTGATGGAAGTGATGCCCAGGCCCTGGGTGCTGCAAGACCAAGGCCGATCTACCACACCATCCTGTTCCTACTTTACCTGTCACAGGAAAGGTCTGGATTCCACGAGACTGCAGCCAGCCCTGCTTGGGGCTGCTTCCCTCCCAGGACCCCAGCCGACCTCCAGCCAGCTCTCCCCATGGCTGTTTGCCAGCCAGCACTGAGCTGCCCTCTACACAGGCACCTCCTGGGCCCTTGGTTAAATCGAAAGCCAGCTGCGAGGGGATTGTCCCCGGTTCCCACCACGTGGGTCCCACACTTAGGTCACGGAGAGCCAGAGTTGAGGGGCTGCCAACCACTCACCATGCAGAACCTGACCCACACTCCCCGACCCTTGACACTCACCGGACAGGTAAGCAAAGCGCTTTTTCAGCTGGTCCTGGATGTCGGCAGCACAGAGCGGGGTGATGTCCTGGTGCATGATTTCATCTGCAGGGAGAGCAGACAAACACACCCATCACTCGGTGGGAAAACTGCCCCATGCGCTGCAAGTCTGGGTCAGCCCCACGCAGCCCCACACATCAGCAGGGCTGATGGCCCTGCCGAGGGGCCAGCGGTCACGTGCTTGGGAAAAATTTGTTTCCAATACGCAGAAACCTTTGTTTCTCAGAGCACAAAAAGCTGAGTGCTGAGTGATTCATCAATATTTAAAATGTGGTGTGTGTCAGCGGCACAGAGAAAGGCAGAGAGAGAGAGGAGGGGGGAAGGAGGGGGACAGAGAGGGACATGCAGGGAGAAGGGGAGACATGGGGAGAGGGGGTGAGCCGGGAGCTGCAGGACTGACCCCTCCAACCAGCAGTTAATGAGCAGCACCAAAAGCAGACACGCTGTTCTGTGAGTCTCTGAGTCTCCACCCATGCTTTGGAAATGGTCCAGGCAGCTCCTGGGGCCCTTACCTGTCGCCTATGCAAAGACTCGCTGCTCGGAGAGGAAACTTGGCCTCTGTGGTGGGCCCACGGCCTCCACACACACGGATGTGGGGGGGGGCCCCTCCACCTGCCTGACAAGGACACTGAGGAGGGTGTTGAACTAAGTCCCCGAGCCTGGTGCTGAGAGGAAACACGGCTCAGCAGGCTGCAGGCTGCTAGTTCTAGATGAGGAGTTGGGGAGTGAGTTGGCGGTACCTCAAGCCACACCCTGGTGACATCGACCAGGAGCAAGAAGGTTTTGCAAGACCCTAGGGGAAAACCTGGAGACTGACTGAAGACGTGAAGTCACTGTGTAGTGTGTGCGCTGGGGTGTCGGCAGGTGAGCCAAAAAGGTAGGTGTGTTCAGGTGTCTGTTCTGAGCCGATGCCAGGCTGGCAGTACGGCAACATTCGCAGTGTTAGGCATGGGCACATTCTCTCTAAAGACACTCACAGATCACACTGATGCCTTGCAAATGGCTTAAACGGTCACGTCTCCTACACCCAGTGCAAGACCCAAGCCATGAACAGCCAGGAAATACGGATCATGGAGGTCTTTTACCCTGAAAATTCCAGTGGCGGAAGCAAAATCCTCTCTGTACAGATCAGCCCGAAATCCTGTTTTTCCGGTCTTGCAAACAAGCAAGTGTAAACAGGTGACACACTTAGACACAGAGGCGGGTCCCAAAGGTCCTGGCTGTGACATCTGTGCAGTCATGACTGGCTGGCCCTTCCACTCTGCTGGTGTTTCGGAGAAAGTGCCAAGAGATAGGGCCACCGAGGCTCCTGGGGCTCCACAGAGCTGCAGCAGCAGCGGCAGCATTTGGGGTCAGGACAGGAATGAGGGTGAACGTTCCTTAAACTCAGAAAGGCAGGGCCCGCCCCGGGACTCCCGTGCGTGGCTTGGTGGCACGACGCCATTTCCGGCTGTGCACTCAGATGTCTCAGCTGCCGTTTTCCCTTGTGGGAGACAAACTGGACTGGAAACAATCACCCAGCAGAGATGGGATATATATTTTTAATTTCAGATAAGGTGATCTAAGGCAGTCTACACCTCTTTGTTCAGGGTGAGCGCCAGGTGCGACTCGTGCAGCATGTCACAGGAAGAACCGCACCATCAGCTGTGCTGCCTCCCCTCCAGTTCAGCCCTGCAGCCCTGGGAGAAGCGTGTCACTGAAACAGAGACCACAGGTCAGGTCTCCCTGAAGTAGGGAGGCGTCCCAGGGATGTGGCGCAGACACAGTGAGCTGGCAAGTCCGTTAACAAGTGGGGGCCTGACGTCAGTGACAAGCGTAGATGCTGGGCCAGAGCGGCTCCCCAACCCTGCCGTGATCCCAGAGACATCTGCCCCGGGTCTTGACATGTCCCACCGAGACTTGACTTCCAGATTTCAGCAGCTCGTGAGGAAAGAACATGATGAATGTCACAGCCTCTGATGGTAGACATTTCTACAGGAATTATTGGACTTGACCCTGAAAGGCTGAGGCGTCAAAAAGCACTTCTTCTCGTGAGCAAATGCTCGCGTTCCTAAGCTCACGTAAGGACACCAACGCTGTTCTCTGTCCAGCTCACGCTATGGCACACGGCTTTCCTGCATACTAGAGATGGGGCTGATATTACTGACCACTCCTATACTTTCTGTGACAGTGACAGTCTCAGAGGACCACTGTTATTGTGAATTTGGTTCCACTGAGGGACGTTTATGGGGCCTCCTCACCTACTCTTCTCTCGGGGTGAAGGCCTCCCTCACAGTCTTCAACTTTCTTACATGGGCCAAGGCCCCGCTCGTACAAGCTATTCACTCTGTAATGCTTTTCCTGTATCTGTTTGCCAGTCTAATCCCACTTACTTCCTGGCCAAGATGCCACCCTTCATGGAGGCTCCTAGCCTGGGCCAGGCCTCTCCACAGCCCACCAGCCCCCGTGGAGCACCCTCCATACCCGCCACCCATAGCTGTCCCGCCCCCAGGGCCTGGCTCGTGGAAGGAGCTCAGGGAACACGTGTCTGCACGAGCAGAACAGCAGATGCCTTCCCAGAGCATCACTTAGCATCCAACTAGTTTGGCCAAGTTCTCTCTGGCTTGCACCTGGGCTGGCTCCAGAACCTCTGAGCAGTCGCAGGCCTGCGGGTGCAGAGCCCCAGCCTGCCGACTGCTGCGATCGTTACCCTGCGCCAGGCTGGGGAAGCCAACGCTTGTGAACTTTCTGGGGCAGAACTAATTCTAATATTGTACCGTAGACCAAGTGCCCCATTTTAGGTTTGAAAAATGGGGTGACTCTGTGCACAGAGTCTGTTAGAAGCCACACAAAGACATGTTCACACAAATGGACTACTAAAAAGCACACACATCTTAAACGGTCACTGGCCACTGCTCGGAAAATGGAAAATAATGAAAAACATCGCCTGCCTGGGGTTAAAGCATGAGATTTTCAGTTTGTCGTGCGACGCCTTTTGTGGCAACCGGCTCTGGACATTTGTGCTGTTTCATCCTGCCTGCAGCCTTGTTCTCATTCCAGGACAGGGCGATTTTGCACTTTGTGCTGACCATTTCTTTAAGGTCCTTGTCCACTGTGTCTAATCGTGTAAAAGAGCTACGCTGCGGCCACCGGTTCAGAGGAAATGGAGGTGCTCGCCGGTGCCACAAGTGCGCCTTGGTCCCTCAGGGCTCCTCCAAGGTCAGAAGTCTGAGACAGGAAGTGGGGTCACCCAACCCACCAGGTCAACGGAAGGGTCAGGCGGGGCCCCGCTCCCTCACAGAACGTCTCTGTGAGAGCACAAAGCCTTACACAGCCACCCCTTCCAGCATTCTGGTCTCGGCCCCGACGTAAATGGACGCAATTACCCTGTGACAGAGTCACTTTTGAGAAGAGAGGTTAAGAAGGGCCTCGAGACAGAGAGGTGCAGGATGGGAGAGGACAGTGCTTCTCTTCCGATCTCCTACAGGGTGGCGAGGACCTGGGGGTTAGGCGTGGGCTCCCAAGGCTGAGTGGTCTCCCAGCATCAGCTCTGGGAGCCCATCTGGGAAGGCTACCATGTCTGGTGCATGGCAGGGGACAAATGGCCCCCCTACCCCTTCCGTGGGAATTATCCCCAACTCGCAGCATCTCATCTGGCCTGGGACCCAGCTCAGCTCTACATAAGGTGAACAGGGAGACACCTCAGTGGCTGAAATGTAGTCACACAAAGTCGTTGTCCAGATCCTGCCTGGTCTGGGCGGCACTCTAGAGTCCAGGGACGGCACCACACTTTGTCTGTATATCTCTCATCCTAACACAGGTAGACTACTGCAGCAAGCTTCCTTCCGCTTGCAAACTGACTAGAGGATCTGCTTCCATGCAGGGCAACTTTGTAATGGAGCGGGGCAGCACCTCACCACGCCTGTCCACTGAAGGGTATTGTGTGCCCCGGCTCCGCTCACCAGAGGCTGCCTGAGGCGGAGAGGAGACACGGTACTGACGGGGCTGCTGCAGATGTGGAACTCATGGGCCCTGAAAACCCACTGGCCAGTGGAAATATCCCAGGTTAAGTGAGCCCCGGGCCCTAGGAGGAGCCTCGAATTCCATCCAGTTCAAAGGCTGGTCCCTGAACTTTACTGGTGACCTCGGACCTTGTTCAAAGGGAGACAGGAGCCTGAGAAAGGCTCCTACAAAGGGGCCAGCAGCTGGTGGCAGGCCCTGGGCCACAAAGTCTATTATGTGCCAATTCTCTTATTTAAATCTGTCTGAAAGTCTATACCCAAGGCTTTGGGGGGGGGGCTTGTTATTGTTATTTTGTAGATAATTAAGAATTTAGTATCCTGCTCTTTTTTAAAGTATATTTTATTACGTTACTACAGTTGTCCCAATTTTTCCTCTTTGCCCCACTCTGCCTGGTACCTGCCTTCCCTCCAGCAGTCCCCCCGCCCCTAGTTCTTATCCATGGGTCGTGCATATAAGTTCTTTGGTTTCTCCATTTCCTGTACTATCCTTAACCTCCCCCTGACTATTTCGTACTACCAGTTATGCTTTTTAATCCCTGCACCTTTTTCCCCCTTCTCTTCCTTCCCCCTCCCAGCCGATAACTCTCCAAATGATCTCCATATCCATGATTCTGTTCTTAGTTTTTTTTCCAAAACAGCTCTTCAGTTGTTGATAGTTGTGAATTTATTGCCTTTTTAATGTTCATAGTTTTTCTCTTCTTTTTCTTAAATAAGTCCCTTTAACATTTCATGCAATAATGGCTTGATGATGATGAACTCCTTTAGCTTGACCTAGTCTGGGACACATTTGGAGGCCTACAGGCCCGGGTGGGATGGATGCCTCTTCCACCAGCTGTTGAGTCCTTGTGGTCCGGATGGGAGCGACGTCTCCATTGCTATTTATCATTTACGTGTAGGGCTCTGTGGTCTAGCCACTCAAGATGTTTGAGATCTCTACTGATTTGGGCAGCTGACTGCTCATTCACAGCCCATCCTGGGTTATTTGTTACTGAATTAGGCATAAATATTTCACATCATATGCAAAGCATCGTTAATTCACTCAGT